TTTTTTCCTGCACTTTGCTTGTCAAATTATTTGTTGTTGTTTCTGCTCAGCTATTTCATACTATATATTCTTATTATTTTTCTTTTTTTCTGTGCCATTTTGCGGAATGTGAGCACTGGGCTCTCTTCAGCGCTTCAGTAACGTTTCTAAACCATTTTTCCCCAGTTTTCGCGCCCATTTCAGAACGTGTTTTCTTGCCATTTGCGGCGAATGGGACAAACCAAACAGTTTGTTTTCTCTACGAATCTCTGGATTCTGCAATTCCCAGCCTCTCGTCATCAGTGCTGCTCCTCCAAAGAGCTGGTTTTTCCTTTATTTTTTCTTTTATGTGATGTTTGCTGTAGTAATTAAAATGCCAAATGTCCATAAATAGAACGAACTAGAAATGGGAACTAGAATGAAGGCAGAAAGCCAACAGAATAAAACCCAAACACAAACAAAAACTAAAAAAAAAAACCGAGAGAGGGAAAAACAAGAGTCGAAACAGAAGCTGGAACTGAACAAGATCTTTTAATTGAGATCATAATTCATTGGAACTGCACTCGGACTTGGACTGAAGATCCCTCAAAATCCGAAAAAATATAAAAACCCACCGAAAAGCAGAGGCACACACAAACATTTTGTCTGTTTCAGCAGGAAGTTCGTATTTAAAAAAAAAAAAAAAAAAAAAAAAGAAATACAAAATTAAAACTACACACAGTCACGCACACACAAACAAAATTATGTGGATGGAGAGAAGTTACAGTCAATTAGCATAAAGACCTTTGACTTTGCTGTAATGCGTAGGCCCACACCCAATTTTTCTTGTTTTTTTCGTTTAACTTCGTTTGCATTGACGATATCAATCTGACTCTTAAATTCGGTCTTTAAATTTTCTTACTTGTTAACGAAGCTATAACGAATGTTTAACCCTAGTGTTTGTTTGGTCAAGCATTTAACAAAAACAGTGGGTCAACAAACTTAGATATCAGATAATAGATAATATTAGTAGGAATATTAGCTGGAATATATTTTATATATTATATATATAATGTTTTATGTATTTTTTCATATTATTTATTGATATACAAAGTTAATTTTTTCATTCAATGTTAATTTCCTTCTTATAGTTCTTATAGTTTTATATTTTCTTTCAAGTGTTCATTTTCTTTCAAGTGTTCATTTTCTTTTATGCGTTCATTTTCTTTCAAGTGTTCATTTTCCTAAATGTTCATTTACTGCAAAGTGTCCCATTTCTACATATTTGGGTGTTGACTTCTTTTGAATTATTTTTTTGAAAATTTAAAAAACTTTTTAAAAGTTTTAAACTATTACTATTAAACTTTTAAAGAAATTTTAAAATGTTATAAATGTATATTACAAAAATGAACTAAAACTGAACCAAAAATGAACTTAAATAAGAGCCTTCTTTCATGGTTTGTCCCCAGTTTTCTGTCATAAAAATATATATTTTATTATTTTTTTCTTTCTTGGATGTTTGTACTTGTTTTGTTTGCGGTTTGTTACCGTCTTCTCTTCGAAGTGAGTGTGTGTGTGTGTTGGTGTTGTCGTTTTAACGCATTTAAAAGTCATTAGTCGCAGGCCTTCTCCTTTCTTCATTCTCCATTGGCATTTCTCTGCCATATCTGTAAGGGAGCAGAGGAAGTAGCCCCTTTAGCATTTTCTTACCATTTTCTGCTTCTGCTGCTGCTGCTTCTGCCTGTTTTCCCCAATGGATTTTTCCCCCTTTTTGCCCCACCGATGATGTTTTGGTTTGATCAGTTGGCCAAGTTCTCTATGTTTCTGCCGTTCTGCCTTTGGGCCTCTTTATCTATCATGTACTGTCATTAATTGTCGTTTAGTTTAGTCCTTGGTTTATGGCTCACCCACTCGGCAATCCGCTCGTTCTGTCCCCCCCCTCTATCCCTACTGTGTGTCCGGCATAATTATGTCCATTAGCGTGCCGTGCCGCAGTTGCAGGCCAGCAGGCAGTTTCAGATTCCTAGCCGGAGCTCAAGTCCAGGCCATTTGGCTCAATTGTCTTGGCACGTTTCTGGTTTTCTCCCTTCGGACGCCTCGGAACTTCAAACAAATTTGTGCAACTCACGCACACACACTCACACACACAGCAAACATATCGATGGAAGGTCGAAGCAGAGAACACACCAAGAAAAATAAATCCAAAGATATTAAAGAATTTGCCCTAGTGATATTTAATAGTTAAAATTTCAAAAAATTTAAATATATATTTTTTAAATTATAATTTTAGAAAATAGTTTTTAAATACTTTTCGAGTATAATTTTATGCTTTTAAAAAAGCTTAAAAGCTTTGATTTGTTTTAAAATATTTATTTAAAAATATGGATAAATTTAATTAAAAAAATTTTAATATTTGCGGTCTTCTTTAAAGGTTTTATGATTTTAAATATTGAAGGAGTCATTTCCGACCCTATAAACCATATATATTCTTAATCAGCATCAAAAACCGATTCGATCTAGACATGTTTGGGGGAAAAAAATTTTTAATTTTTTTTCCCGATATTTTATTGTTAAAATTGTCATAAAAAAATTATAAAAATTTTTGATTTTTTAAAATTCTAAATTTAGTAAGCAGATTTGTTAAACTAGAAAAAACTAGCACAGAAACGTTTTCCGAATGGAATTTGATGCTTTTTCGGCTGAGTTATGGTGATTTTAAGCCAAAAAATGTTGCCAAAAAATTATATAGAAATATAAAAAAATGTTGATTTAATATTAAATATATTAAATATTTAAAAATAAATTTAATAATAATAATCCAATAGCATTATAAGCTTATAATTGTCAAATATTAAGGGGTCCTTGGAAAGCCAATTATAACTTTAGGAGGTTTCTTTTCTTTTCCTGTGTAAGCAATATACATTCCTGTAACGAGTTGGCCAAGATTTATGTTGTTTCTCTTTCTCCTGGCCAGAGACCACATAAGTTTAAAAATAATTTCCCTTGTTTTATTTTCTTTTTTTGCATAACTTCCAGCAAAACGGCCTATTTATACAAGCCATTCGAGCGAAAGGAGGGAGGGGTGCCAAAGGATTGGGTCTGGGCATATATCCTCAAGCCAGGAATGGCACAAGGAAAGGCAATGTTTCCTTTGGCTTAAAGACATTTTCTAAGATTCAATTGATTTGTTTTCTATATTTCGCAAGTCCCTAGGATAACTATTAAATTTCATAAGCTCAGGCTTAATAATTGCAAGACATTTTCCCTTTTCTAAATGTACTTCTCTCTTGTTAAATTAAAAACATATATATTTTTCTCCTTAATAATCGAATTTTAATGTTTACCTTTTCCTTGTGATATTCAAGAAAATATTTCTGAGGAAAATTTAACAATCCCTTTGATTTTATTTCAACATTTTTTGCATGCCTTTTAACATTCCGCCGAATGGGGCGGGGGAAAATTTGGGGGAAAAACTATAGGGAAATCAAGGGGGAAATCACCCTTGCACAAACGTTTGCCAAAATGCATTTCTTTGCAGACGTCTCTCGCTCTCGATTTTTATTTGATTTTATTTATTTATTTACTCTTGCCACCGAAGTTGTTCACGACTGCTACTACCACTTCTTTTTCTCTCCCTAAGATACTACCTCCAAGAATTCGAGCAATTTGTTTTTGTTTGGTTTCGTTTTGGCTCCGCGTTTTGTTTGTTATTTTGTTTGTTTCCTTTTTGGCTTTTTGGCACACTTGAATTGATCGGGGGGAAGCACACAACAAGTTGAATTTCATTGAATTTGAAGTGTGTCCCTGGCAGTTCATATTTTAAGTGCTCGGGATTTTTCACAGTTCCGTTATTTTACAAGACGATTTTCTTTAAATTGGGTTTTTATTATATTTTTTAGGGGGATTTTTCAGAAATATTTATATACCCTTTAGATTTTATATGAAATCTTGGCTTATTTTTATTTCTATTAAATTATTGTGGCTTAGTTTAAATTTGTTTTAAGTTGATTGTCTTTTCTGCTTATTTTTAATAATTTAATTAATTTAATTAAATAATTTTATGACTTTAATTAAATTTTTTTTCATTAATTTAAATATTATTAATTAAATAATTTTGTGAATTAAATTAAATAATTTTATTCATTTAATTAAATTATTTCATTATTTTAATTAAATAATTTTCTTAATTTAATTAAATAATTTTCTTAATTTAATTAAATAATTTTCTTAATTTAATTAACTAATTTTATTAATGTTATTAATTTCATATTGTCGCCTCTTCTGGCGAACTTTAAAAATCTTAAAAATAGTAAAAAATCGCACCGAGATACGACATTTTTAATTCATTGAAAATATATCCCGCGGACTTATGTCGCTACCCCTTAACTAAACATTGTTTTCAAGTTAAGTAATAGCCTGTTTCCTACAACCAATCGCTTTGGGCCCCCTAGATCCATTGATGGGGGAATCCCCCTACCCCACACTTGGGGCGCCTTGTCATGTCTGGGCGATGGCAGAAAATACCCTTGTCAGCATTGAAATGGAGTCTCGGGTCGGTATTCTCTTAAATATACCGTATGCAGATGGTCAATTTTGTTCAGAAAATGTTTGGACAGCTTCCCCCAAAGAATAAGTATATGGGAATTTATTTTGTTGCTCTTTTTCTGGTTGTAGTCTCGGCGCTTAATTGGGCAGATAACGCGACGAGTTCATTGTTATTGTTTATGTCACACGACGACGGCGAGGAGGAGGAGGAGGAGGAGGGGTAGGAGTAAAGCCACAGCATAAATACGGCACCAACATTTTGCCTAAATCATCTGTCTGTCTTGATGACACCCCAGCTGCTCTGGCTGCTTCTCTTGTTTCACTTCATTTACTCAAATTAAGAGGGGTGACCACTTGAGGTGACCCTTTCCCCACTTCCCCACTTTTCCACTTCCCCAGTTACACCTAATCAAAAAAATTCTAAAATAATTCTCAGCCTTAAGTCTTAAGTTTCTTGAATGTTAATTAATTTTTATTATTCTTTTTTCTCGTTTCAGGTGAGTTTACCAAAATCTGCTTGGAAAGTCTTCAAAATAATATTAATAATCGTGTGGAGGAATCTATGAAAAACAGGTTATCTAATTTAAGAATCAAAATTAGAGTTTATTTACTCAAGAGAGCTTTGAATTAAGTTCTACTAGCTGGCTAGTAAAGGCTTTAAAATTTAATTTTCCTCGGAGGATTCACTTTAGTTGTGGAATTAAATTTGTATCAAATATTAAGCCCCTTAAAGAACATTTTAAATTTTATTTAGAGAATCTAAAATTCTCTTAAAATTTTGGATCTTTCCTTAATCTCAATTGTGTGTTACTTAAATACTGTTATTATTTTTAAATTTAACGTACATTTTGTGTGAATTTTTTACCTATTTGTAAAACTCTTTAAATATTTATCCCTTTATATTATTTATTTATTTTTAACTTTGTAAACTCTTGTAGCTTTAATCCATTTATAAATGGATTAACAGTTTATCCTTGTTTGTTCAACTTTTATTTTCTTTTTTTTTTATTGCTTTTGTGTCTGGCAAAATTAAGGAAAAACCGCCACCGTTATTTGTATTTCCGTATTCCCTTTCAAACAAAAATAAAAAAAAAATGGAGGTAAAATTGGGAACGCACTGAAAGTTTATACATATATGTACATGTGTGCAGTTTTATGCTTTCATCCAGAGATGAGCATCAGCCACAAAGTCAAATTCCTTCATTACGCTTCTGTTTCACAGTTGTTTATTGCTCATCCTCTTGCTCACTTGCTCATCCGCCTTTGGTGCTGCTCTTCTGCTTTTGCTCATGTGTTTTTTTCTTGTGCAATGGCGCTTTTACGTTAATACCCTTTTTGAAATGATGGTTACTTTTGATTTTGGAGCGAACATTTGAGGGCCTTTAAATTATTATTTGAAATATATATTTATTTTCTATGTTTATATATTTTATATTTAATTTTTATTATTTTATTTATATTTTTTTTCTTTAAATTTTATGCATTGTATTTTTTTATTATATTTTTTTTATTTATAATTTTTTTATATATATTTTTTTGTATATATTTTTTGTATATATTTTTGTATATATTTTTTGTATATATTTTTTATATATATATTTTTTATATATATTTATATATTATAATTATAGGGTATTTTCAGCTTCGGCTTCAGGGCTTCAGCTTAACTTTACGATGTATAACTTTATTTTTTTTTTTTCGCTTTCGCGACCGCAGTTGAGAGTTCATTTGTTGTTGAAGGCTTTGGGCCTGAAGAGAAGAGCATTTGAAGTTGCTTCTGGCTTGGAACCGAAAACCCCCTTAGCCCCCATAGCCCCCTTAGCCCCCTTAACCCCTCTATGCCCCGCTTCCATTCAACAAAATAATGCCTTTGAATGCTGCAACAGAGAATGCATGCGAATGTTCTTCTTTATGGAGTAAAAAATGCATATAAATCGTATTTAAATTTTATGGTTGACACTTTGTGCCCTGCTTTACTCTCATTTCATTTCATTTCATTTCTATCTCTTTCGCTCCTTCACTCGGCAAATGGTACGCCACGGGGCAGTGTCCATAAATTCACTTGAAAAATATATGTATATTTTTCCGCTTTTCTTCTACGGCCGCCCAGGCAATTATTCCATTTTAATAAACCATAATTTATATATTTTTTGGCTATTTTTAATTAAGTAATTGATAGATTCCAAAAAGACACACACAGTCCACAGGACACGGATCGGGGGAAGGCGGCGCGGGTTGCCTAGCCAAAATCGATGAAATTTAATTAAATATTTTCCGTTTCCTTGTCCATAAACTTTTATGCATTCGAAAAAGGGTTGAGGAGAAGAGCGGGAATGGAGGTCACGAAGGCCTCGGTTTTTGGTCTGGGTCTTGGTCTTGGTCCTGGTCGCCTTTGCCTTCGCTTCATTTTTGGCGGTAGTATCCTAGTCCCTCGAAAATTTGGAATTCTGAACGTCAAAATGTCAGCTGCGGGCACAAAATAATCTCTTGTCCCTAACTCTTAACCCACTCCCTCTCACTCTGGCACCTGCCGCCCTTTGTTTGCCGCTTAATAATCAAACACAATTTATACACGCACACACACACAGCGAGGACAAACAGGAGTTTATTACAGGACCATGGGATACCGTGTCCTATTGAACTATGGAATGTCTTTTACTGTTTATCAAGAGGATATATCTAAGAATATATAGGAAATATCTTAAACTTTAATGTATCGAACTCGAATATATCGAAAATTATCGCATTTAAGGTTAAAATACCGATATTATCGATAAGAAAAATATTTAATTTATCCGAAATATCCTAGACTTTGACCAAGTATAAACAAAGTCTATATAATTTCTCGAATTCCCGAAATTTAGATCTTCCTCTAAGAAAATCGCTGCCAAAGGAAGAGCTAGTTTGTCATGTCTACTTACTGGCGCCAAATTCCACTTGAATCAAATCGAAAAACAGCAGGAAAATAGGGAAAACTGGGTGGCAAGTCACAGGCAGAGGCCAAATCACACAATGCCAAGTCAAGCCAAGGCAAAGCAAGGCACTCGGGCAGGCAGAGGCAGTAGTCACGTTCGTGATTCGTGTAATCTACGGAAGTGAATCGCTTTACATGGAATAATTATTAACAGATTATGCCCAAGCTCCTTTCGCTCTGTCTTTTATTGGCCTGTGTGTGTGTGGTGTGTGTGGGGTGTGTGGGTGAATGTAATTGCCATGAAAGCGATTTTAGTTGATTAACCCAACTGATAATTGAAATCTGGTCACAGTTTAATGAGCCACTATTTTTGTCTTTAAGCTGTCTTTAGCTTTTAGCTGTTTGTTTATATATATTTATATTCAAGTCACTATCAGTTAATTAGGGTTTTAGATATGATTCGTTATTTGTTATGATTACTTTAATGATATATAATAAAAAGTATAATAAATTATAATAATATAGGAGAATATAAAAGAATATAGATATTAAAATACAGCAAAACTGTATAAATAACATTGAAAATATCCCTTTTAATTAATTATTTACATATTTACCAACAAAAAATCACCTCATTTTCACCTGTCACAGTCACAGTCACAGTCACATCCTCAACAACTCACCTCTTATTTGCCAACACTAATTATCCGCCACTAATTAGGTTTTGCTTCAGCGGAGGCGTGTTCCTGGCATAAACTAATTTTCAAAGTCAATGTCGCGACGTGGCCTCATGCACCACTTCCAACTTTTCCGCTTTTCTCTAGCTTTTCCCCCCCTCACTTTTCTGTCGTTCTTCCTTCTTCACTCCGGTTAACCCCTTTTTGCCACGTAACGAAAGACTTGCCTTGTTGTCGGCTTTACCGCTGCTGTTGGGGCCACATTACCCTCGGGGGCTTCTGGGGCAAAACTTTGCTCTGTAAAAGTGTGTGGGTGTGTGTGGTGTGGGGGGAAGGGGGGTGGTTACTCCTTAGTGTGGGTGCGTGAGAAGTTTTCATTATATATTCATATACAGTCACACACTTGAACGCTCGCACATTCACACACAATTTGCTATTAGATGCTCGTTGAAAAGTTTTCGACTTTTGGGTTTTGCACAATTCAATCAACAACAACAACAGCAACAAAAAGAAGAAGAACAACAACAACAAAGACGACTACAACAAGAAACACAACAGCAACAGTAATAACAACAACGAATAACACAACAACACCAACAATAAACACAACAACAACACCAACAATAAACACAACAACAAACACAACAACAAACACAACAACAACCATGAGTAACTGCAATGGCAACTTTTCATGGAAACAACAAGAAGGAAAATATACCAGAAGAAAATTTGCACTAAAGAAATAATAACTAATTATTTCAAAAGAAATCCGAGTAATGTTCTTGATTTAGAAAATTGAAGAACTCTGATTGTTGAGATTTTTGCTTACCTTTTAAGGATTACCTATAGGAAATATTTAGAAAATATAGTAAAATAGTTTCCATTATCACAATATTGGTCTAATCTTGTTGAAACTTCGCAGGATAATAGTAAACACATATAGATCTTAAACTACCAAAAGTATAGCCTACTTTTTGGGGTTTGCCTAGAGGAAATATTAGGAAAAGACAGTAAAACTGCTTTCAGAAACATAAAATTGATTTGTTTCTATTGAAACTTGACATGTGAATACTAAAATATAAAAGCTTTCAATTTGTAAATTTTTTTTTAGAATTAAACTTCTCTAGTTTTTCTTGCAGTGTTGTAACTACATCTCTCATGCAGACTCAGATTTGTGCAAAGCACATACACAAACACACACACACACGTTTGAGTCATAACAAAAACGTGTTGATTTGCTGAAATCATTTTCATTCTGATTTTCGTTTTCATTTTCATTGAAAAAGTTTCTCCAATGCAGAGAAAGTCAATTGTTTCAGCTTCTTTGTTCTGTTCCTTTCTGTATTTTTTTTTTGCATTGGCTTTTCCAATCCGTTGTTCGTACCCTTCTTGATTTTCCAAGCCAGTCAATGTGCCAATGTTTTCTGTCATGACTTGATTTCCTTTTGCAACTTGGAGATGATTTTTTTTGTAGCTCTTGTTGTTCCACTTGTTTGTCAATCTATCTTGGCTTTGTTTTTTAGTAGCTTAAAAAATTAATCCCACTTTTCCCAAAGCAAAGCGAGTAATACATAATTTCCACTTAAATAATTGTCTCATCATCATTTCCGAATAAAGTGCTCCCTGAAGTGGTAGAAAAAAGTAAAGAGGGTCAAGTGGAATTTTCTTGCAATTGCCGAGATTCAGTTGAAAATCTCTCCAGGGCTCGCCGTAAATCGTCCTTTTCTTTTTCCCTTTATCATATTGCAAGAAGATTTTTGAATATTTTTCTTTTTTGAGGCAGTTTCTGTCAAGGTAAAAATTGTACAAATCAAAAATGGAAAACCAACAAACAATAGGGTATGGATGATGGCTAGGATTTTAGCATTTTGCAGTACAAAAATATAATTGAGGCCTTCTGGCCGAAGGAACGCCGACAAAG